ACAGTAGTACCTTGACATTGAAAAGATTTCCATGAAGATTCAATGAAAGGAACAAAAGTATTATTATGAAACCAACTCTTTTCAAATCTGAACAAAGAAGGATTAGGCTTAATATCTCCACTATCAAGAATAATTGGAGAGTGATCAAAGCCAACAGAATGAAGAGAATATTGCAAACTTAAAGGATGCTTCCTATCCCAGTGTGCACAAATTAAAAATCTATCCAATCTAGCCAACGCAGGGTTGTGACGCTTATTGGACCAAGTGAAAGAACGACCAGACAAGGGCAGGTCAATAAGAGAATTAGAACAGGTCAACAAGAGAATTAGAAGAGACAAGGTTTCTGAAGTAGTTGATTTCTCTCAGAGAACCATTTCTGTCATTTCTTTCCTCTGAAGATAATGTAGCATTGAAATCCCCACAAACAACCCATGGACCATCAAAAATTTGACGCAATCTTGAGAGTTCCCACCAACAAACATCCTTATCTTCTCTATCAATGGGAGCATAAACTTAAGTGAAAGTAAAAGACCATTGATGGTGCATGAATAAATAAAACCAAAACAGAGAAGATATCGATATATGAACGTATCAGAGTGAACGAGTTAGACCAACCAATAATAACACCACCCCTAGATTCAGAAGAGTCTAGGATGCACCAGTGTGTTATTTTGTTGCCTCCCAAAGAACGAAGCTTTCTAGCAGAAGGTTTACAAAGTTTACTTTCTTGAAGACCAATGATGTCGATAGATGACCGTAGAATAAAATCCTTTACCAAACTCCACTTATTTGGGTCATTTAGACCACACACATTCCATGTTGCAAATTTTATTAAGAATGTATTATATGAAAGACCTCCAGAAAAAACTCTTGGTCAGACTTCTAACAACCTGAAGATATTCTATCAACTTCATTAACCTTCAACTTAGCTATAGAGTCCTCATGTAGATTAATTCCATAATTAGTCGCAATGTCCTTAATAATATCATTATTCATAGCATTTAAAGGCAACACGACAGAAGTAGATGAAGAGGGATTGCGTTTCGTACCTTTTTAGCAATTTTAGAGGCAGATTTAGTTGAAGAGATATGTTGCAGGAATTTCTTGTGTTTGCAGCTGATAAGAGATTTCCTGGTCGAACGAGTAGTTGTCGATGAAGCTAGTTTATGAGAAAAACCTAGAGGAACGGATGTGGACATCTGAAGAGCTAGAGATTCATTTGATTTTGGCGGGAGAGATGTACCTGAAGAGTTTGAATTGCTGGCGTCTTTTTTCCCGCCAAAAAATTGTTCCAAGTTGTTTTCTCCAGATAGACTGTTTGACCATTCCAATAATGCTTGACTAAATCCACTAGGAAATCACAAAGAGATTTGACAAACGATTCTGAGCTGTCGTTGAAAGAATTAGCCTGAGATCCCGCCAGATAATTAGTTACCAAAATTGGTGAATTTTGAATTACTTCTAGAAACGCCACCGCATTATCTTCCTTGATTTCTTCTACATTTGAATCCACCACAATTACTGCTTTACCCTTATCTGTTTTGAGAACATATTAAGCTTTTTTCAGTGAACTTAATGTCGGAGAATTGTTGACATCATCTGGAGTAACTTGATCAAGCCATTGAGAATCAATTATCACCTCTCCTTGCATCTTCATAGCATTAAGATGTGTACCAATAACATCTGAGGCAATTTCCCCAACACCAATAGGTTGAATTTCCAAATTCACTTCTCTAGTAAAAGAATCAATTTGAGAAGTGTAAGAACAGACAATATTTTTCGGAATACATTCATCAGATTTCACTTTAACAAGCACTCTAATATCATTACCATTAACTTTGTCTTTGATGTTTTTACATCCTCTCACCATTTCACCAAAGGATCCTATAATCTTCTCCATTATATCCAAAGACCAAAATTAAAAAGGTAAACTTTTAATCTTAATCTATTGAGAAAAAGAAGCATTCACAATTTTCATACCCATATTTCTGTCCATGGCGCAAACCAACCCTTAAAGCACTCAAAGTACAAACTCTTTTCGTCAAGTGCTTCCGACATCTGAAAAGAAGAGGGGAATTCCATCAAGTAATGTTTATCCTGAATAGGTATAACTTTACCACTCCAAGACTACCTATTGAATAGCCAAGGCAACTTTATTTTGATCAAATCTAACGTTGGTGCACCTTCAGAGATAGTGAGAATTGTAAAAGAAGCCAGTACTTTGGCGTTGTTGCAAAGAGCTGCAGATTCTGACAAATCAACCTTCTTTTCTAGAGGACGAAGATGAGATATGCAGAATTTTGCAATATGCCCTACCTCATGACATTTGAAACATATGAAAACCCCCTTAGGGCAAAATTTAACTGAACGACGACCTTAGCTCAGTTGGTAGAGCGGAGGACTGTAGTTTGTGTACATCTTGTATGGATACGAGTAATAATATATGTGCATAAAAATTATGGTTTTTGGAATAGAGTTAATGTTAGAGTTTCTCCATGATGTAATATGTATCACATTAGTTGACAAGAAATGAGTTTACATTTGTAGATGTTGCGATCAAATTTATATTTCTAATGTCTAGTTCACAATAATGTTGTTAGAGATGGTAACTGGATTTACATTTTATAGGGAAACACTTATAGAATTTGGGTTGCAAGTCCTTGTATTAACTAAAAAAACCAAAAACTAACTTCATATCATCAAATTAGTTGTTCTTAACTCAAAAATATGGATCATTTTATATTTGAACAGAAACAAACATGTGGCTTGCAATGGAGATGCATTTCTTAAAAAAAAATAAATAAATAAAAAACAAATCTAATGTGTTTTGTGACTAACGAATATTTGGATGTACATTTATCACATTAAAATAGAAATATCTGAACAATGGAATTGAGGTTAGTTTTCGGCAACAAATCTTGCTTGTAACATTTCATATATTCAACAAGACTATAGTTACAATTTTAGAGTAGCAAACACCTCCCAAAAAAAATGAAACTTAATACCTCTTGGCTTCCAAAAATTACTCTTTTATTTTTTTATATTTATATTATTTTTTGATTAGCTAATAGATTATTATTATTATTATTATTTCTATCACGTGCTTAGCATATGACATGGTAGTCTAAACCATGTTACTTTAAGGTGCTGCTTGTTTCACCATTTTTATGGAAAGGAATAGGATTTGAGTCTGATAATGACAAAATTGTAAACAAAGGATTTTTTATGAATCCTACCTATTCTTGGTTCCCCAAAAATTTATAGATTTTAGAATCTATAAAGTTGAAAAAGTATGCTGATTTTATAGAAATCAAAAGTCTAATGATTTGAGTGGATTTGGGATAGAAAGCTGACGCGTTTGTACTATTTTCCCCTCTTTTTTTTTTTCCGGATTCCGTTTTTTCACAAACCCTATATTATTATGAGACCAAATCCTATTCTCATTCCAAACCAAACTAAATAAGAGGAAATTGCGGGTTTCTATAAAGTTGAATTCTATTTATTTCATGTTATGGAACAAACATAGAAATGAAAAAAAAAAGATTCCATGACAACATAAAATTGTCTTAAATTTTTTTATGGATTAGCTAGGAATTCATAAAAAATATAGGATTCCTAATCCTATTCTTGGCCCTTATTGAACCAAACACCCCTTAATAGTAAATGAAAAATCCTTTGTCGAATAAAAGAAGTCGGGAGTTGGGGGTTATTTTTGAAATCAAACCAAACTTTAAGCCGCGATAACCACATCAACGATCAGATCAGAAAAATCCAACCCGTTTGGTTCTCTACGAAAGATCCGTTTAATGAAAAAGAAAGCTTAATTGCACTTAAATACCCTATAGTTTCCCCTATTTTACAATTGTACATCCTCACTTGTTTTTGTACTTAAATACCCTATACTTTCCCCTATGTTACACTTACTCCTCACTTGTTTTTGTCACACTTACATATACGTCGAACTTTCACTCATACATTCTGGTTTTGGTATCACTCATATAGTTGTATATTCTAAAGTTTTTAAAATTTGTATTTTAAGTATCCTAAAGTTTTTAAAAACCGGTACTTAAACACCCTAAAGTTTTTAAAATTTATACTAAAATATCGGCAGTTAAGTACAAGTTTTGAGGAATTCAGGGTGCTTGAGCGCCAGTTTTAAATTTTTTACGGCGTATGAGGTTTTAGAAAACATCAGATAACCTACCGAAAACAAGCTAGGATACATAAGCGGGTAGTAGGGGAAACTACAGGGTACTTAAGTGCAATTAAGCCTAATATAAAAAAATGCAGCGCCGTGACTCAAATCAAAACCTCCCAAACCAAACCCTAGCCCCCCTACCTCCGAGCCTAGGCCGCAATGTCTCCTCCTCCAACCACAGGAACACGCTCCTCCCTCCCCTCTCCTCCGGACCTCTCAGATCCTCTCCGCCCAACCGAAGACAACCAGCCCCCGCCACTCCTTCCCACCTACCTCACCTCTCCCCTACCCCCCTCCCCCCACGCTCACTCTCCCCTCTCCGCCTCTCTCTCTTCCGGCCCTCACCCTCCCCTCCAAGGCCCTGAACGCCCGCCTGCCTTCCAGGCCCTACCCCCTCACGCCCAGCGCTCGACGTCGAGCTCGTCCTCAAGACTCTCCTACTTTCCGCTCCGCCTCCTCCGCTCTCCTCCTCTGCCGCCTGCCTCCCCCTCCCTCTGTCCCCTACTCCCTCAACTCTCCGTCGACCTCCCGGCAAGCAACCGCCATGCTTCAGCCCATGTGGGACTTATCCGGTCTCCAACATGCTCTCACCCGCTCGCGGCCCTCTCCGCTCTGCCACCTTCGCCTCCGTCTTCTCACTCCTACGGCCGCGCTCCCCTTCGAAGACGCCCTCAAGTGTGTTCGACGACAATTGCGGCCCGCTTCGCGTTTCCCCCGGGACGCCCGACCGCCCTCAAGTCCCGTGCTCTCCGCCGATCTGCCGCTGAGGGCGGAGCCGGTCGGTCGCGCGCAACATTCTGCGATGCGGAAAGTAAACGATGGTGTCGCCCGGCGGGGACAGCTACGCGATTTTGCTCGACGGTGGTCTGGAGGTAGGCGGGGGGACGGGAGGCCGCTGCGCTGTAGGTGTTTGATGAGTATGGTTGAGAGGGTCGGGTGGACGCCGAAGAACGTGCCCGCGTATGACTCGTTTCTTTGCACCCTTGTGAAGGGGGGCGGCCGGGAGATGAAGTACGCGATGAGGTATTTGGGCGAGCTGAAGGCGAAGGGGTGTTACCCGGGGATGAAGTTTTTTAGGCTCGCGATGGAGGAGCTTGTGAAGACCGATGATGCTAGAGGGGCCAGGGTTCTATGGGAGACGCTTGTGGGGAGAAATGAGTGTTACCCGGATGCTAAAATGTATAGTTCGATGATTAAATTGCAGTGTCATGATGATAGGACCGACGAGGCTTTGAAGTATTTGGATGATATGGTGCTGTATGGAGCTTTCCCCGATGCGAAAACTTACAATGTGGTGCTCGAGCGTTTGCTTAAGAGGATGAGGACAAAGTATGCGGCGGCTATTTTTGATGAGATGGTGCTGAATGAGTTTGTGCCGAGTGAGTCGAATTGTGTTTCGGGGATTAAGATTTTCTTGGATGCAAGGGATTGGGATATGGGGCTGAAGGTTTGGAAGTGTATGGTGGATAACGGATACCCGTTAGAGGAGAGCGGGAATTTGTTGGTGACGAGGTCAAAGGAGTGTGATAGGTTGCCAGAGGGTTGCAAGGTTGCAGAGGATATGATCGATAGGAGGGTGAAGCTCACCTCGGCTAATCTGTCGAGATTGAGGGGAAACCTTGTGCAGATGGGTAAGGTGAGTGTTTATAATCACATATTTATGAAATGGAAAATTCATTAGGGTAGTTTTTAACTTGCTAGTGGGTTCTGATTACAGGAATAATTTCCATTTTTTTTTGTTTTTCAATGAGAATTGGTTATATTATTCCTCAATAGTGAATGCAATGCCCTATGTTAAGTTCCATCATTTTCCCTTGTTATATGACTACTATATTTTTTAACAGTATGTTGTATGACGGAGCTAAGCTTAGGGGATGAGTGGTTAATTGCAACTGCAATTGCTGTCACATGAAGTTGTAAGCAGTTGCTTGGTTCAGTTTAAAATTATGAAATTTGCAACTCCGGTTGTACTTGTAGGTAGTAATAGGAAGAATTTCAAATTTTCTTTGGGTTGCATGTTCATTCACATTCTGCATAAAAATTTGTTTTGAATGAGCATTAGCTTATATTATGCCTGAGTACTGAATGCAATATAATGTGATAAGTTCCATCACTTTCCCTTGTTATCTGATTCCTATCCTACTTGAAATGAATTTCATAAAGTGTTAAGAAACAAATGCTTGGGATAGGTTTCTCTAACTGAGAAGTTAGATTTTTGTAGGAAGCTCCTCGTTTTCTTATAGAGGTTTTAGATCTGGCTAAATTCAAACTGTGAAAATTAATATTTTTGTGGTGCGTTGCGAAATTAGATGCAAACAATACTAGAATTATAAACTGCATGAGGTATGAAGGGGTAGGCATAGGTACTGTTTGGTTTGTTGGAAACTGCAATTGTAATGCAAGTATTAGTTGCATGCAACTGTAGCTGCCACAAACTTTTTGACCTGAAACTATGGTTGCGTTCGCTTGGTTCAGTTTTAAATTATCGCAATTTACAACTGCAATTGTACTATTTTTGGTTGTCAGAGTTGGAGTTCTTCTACAGGTTGGTTGTCATTGCCTTTGAAGTTGCAACTTGGTTATGATAGTCATAGGAAGATTTCAAGTTTTTGTATGTTCATTCACATACTGCATAGGCATGTATTTTTGAATGAATATTTGCTTATATTATACCTCAGTAATGAATGCAATGCTCTATGTTAAGTTCTAACGTTAATGGCAAATCGAGGTCTTGAAGATTGCAAATCTATCTTTAAGTTAAGGTTAACTACTAGTGGTAAACACATGAAAAACACTTACTTAATCCATGTCAAGAAATATGCAGTTGATGTTAATATGAAGCTTGCCTTGCATTATTGAGAAGATAGAAAATGAAGAAAAATAAGGAAATGATGGACTAGTGCTTGCCCCTTGTTATTCTTTTAGTTGCAAATATGAGTATGCGAGCAGTGGTCTAATAGGAATATGCTCTAAACAGTTGGCGAATAAATTAAAAAGTTAAGTAAAAAATTCACTAGATGTAGCGAAGAACAAAGTACTAGGGAGGCGCAAGGGTCATGGAGAACACAAAAATTGAAGTAGTTAGTAATCACATAATGTACAGTTTCACTATAGCTATCTACAGGTGTTTTACCAAGGAAAAAGGTGAACCCTCCATTGTCATTTTCCTTGGATATGCATTTGTATTGAAAGTTTGTCATTCAATCCTTAATTAGTCTTGATCTTTGTCATCAATTTGCGATCCTAATATTATTGAACTGCAGTGAGTAGATGTGTACAACTTTTTTTCAGTTATCAATGATGCAGGAGGGGGAAGTAGGTCATTTATTGTGGAAAATACCTGTTGAGATTGATGAGAAGTTCCTGGGGAAGTACTTTTATAAAGGTAGGAATTTAGTCTTCAATTTGTAAATCAAATGTGAGTCCTGACTCCTACTTGACCTTTTTCACCTCGGGATGGGGATGATTTACATTGGTTTAATTTCCCAAACCTGTTAACATGAATTAATTTAAGATATTCCTAGCATTGGTATGGTGGATGTTTATATGATGATTGAATATCTGATAATCAAAGAAATCAAAATATATGAATGCTTATATTAGATGCATTTGGTGTATGAGTGTTAAAAGCTTTTTGATTCGTTTTAAATGATCTTTCGAATCGAATTTGGATAAATAGTTAGATGAATAGTTACTTGATATATTTGATAATAATTATTTCAATCTTGAGTGTATGTTGGCATCCTAAGAATGTGGCAGTAATTCTGTCATCTGGATACATTAATGACGTATTTCTGTTTTTACGAAATATATTAACCAAGAACTACTCAGTTCGTGCTTTGATGATTTGTTGTGTCAATGTGAATAGATATACAAGTATCAGAGAACATCAAAATAAGTATCAAACATCTTCGCTGAAGCCACAATTTCAATATCCTAGCAACCTTTTAAGCTTATGATTTCTTTATGCAATAATCTAAGTAGCAACTGAGCTGGGGTGACCAGGTTTCCCCTTGTCACCAAAAAAAAAAAAAAAAAAAAAAAAAC